GAGTTCTTGTCACCTTGGTTTGGGGGCAGAAATGGGGAGACCATCCTAACTCTACTGACCTCCCTTCACCGTCACCTCTCCCTTTCCCTGCCCCCAGGTTCGAAGGCCTCTGCCGTTGGTGTGGTTTGACTCTTCATTAAGGCCCCCACTAGGAGGCTCACCCCCAGGGTCCAGTCCAAAGTCCAACCTTGGAAGCCACACTATTCTTGGGCCTCTTCTTTGCTGATGGACTCATGCTGCGGCTGTGAGGCTCAAAGACAGAGGGAGCAAGACTGGTACCAGGCACTGCCTGCGCCCTGCCCCTCTCAGTTCAGCCAGTGCTCAGGCTGGGCATCAGGATGGTGGTGCTGGAGCTCCCAGCAAGGGGAGCTGTGACATCACTGAAATGTGTGACAGCAGCAGGGCTGGGTCTCCAAGGAGTATGTGTGTGGCAGGGGTGTAGGGTGGAGGATGAAGAGGAAACTCCCATCTGTGGAGAAATCTAGTAGGTGCCAGGCAGCAGCATATATTGTCATAATCTCTCTATGAGGTAAGAGGATTGTCCCTTCTTTTTTAGTGAGGAAGTCAAGGCTGAAAGAGGTTAAATAATTTACTTAAGTCCACACAGCTGGATAATGGTGGAGCTGGAAAATTAACCAAGGTCTGATAGTCAACTTATGAAACCAGGGTTCCCAAACTATGCTCACCTATTTAGTCATGCCTCATATGTTGACTGGGTGCCTCGCATATTTCAGGTGCTGTTGTAAGTGCTGGGATTTAAAGAAAGTTCTTATCCTTAGGAACTTAAAGTCTTATGGAGGAGAAACAAACTGTATGTGCTTGTAAATGTTTAATAATTGGCCCTCTGAAAAAAACTATGTGTGTGTATATATATTTATGTTTATTATAAATTTTACTAATATACATTTACAAACAATAATAAAATATACAGTATTCTTGATTGTAAATTCTGTATAGTTAATTGATTCTTACAGAATGCTTTACTTGATTTTTGCCTAACTCTTGTATCCATAGCCAGTCTATGGATGTAACTGATGAACAAGTATAATTCCAGCACGAATGTTGGTATTTTCATTTACGTTAACAAGTAAGAGGAGAGTGAAACAACAAAGATGTCAAGTTTACTCATTTATCGATAACATGACCAATTTATTTACTGTATTGGATCATAGTTTTTGAATACTGGAAGTGTATTTTCTCAGTTTTCTGTGCTGTTCACAATATAACAGCTACAGACACAACATGTGTAAGTTTAATCTCCATTATTAACATTTTCTCTGTTACCTTCTTAAGTGTAGGCCAAGGGCTGGCAAATTTCTTCTGTGAAGGGCCAGGTAGTAAATATGTTAGGCTTTGCAGGCTATATGGTGTCGGTTGCAACAACTCAACTCTGCCATTGTAGTGTGAAAGCAACCATGGACAAAATATAAATGAATAGGCATGGCTGTGTTCCA